CTTGCTAGGATTCCAATGACGTCTCAATGGGGTTATAAATATAACCTTTTGGATTGTGAGGAAAACTAGAAAAAGGATTACAATACTTGGGTGACTGAATTCACTATTTGGGTTTACAATAGTGTACCTGACATTTGCTGTGGGGATAGAGCTTAGGCTGCCACTATACCCAGGGAAAGATAACCATGGGAGAGGATAAATATGTTAATTAGCTCAGTACTGTGAGTATTTCACAAGGATACATAGATCTAGACATTGAGTTGTATACATTGAGCATACATAATTTTAATTTGCCAGTCTCACACATTAAACTGGAAAAAAATAAGAATAACATTTCTCAAGGCCAGAGAATCTGATGATGGATCTGGTGTAGGACTCAAAGGTGGGTATTTTCAGGGCGCAGGAAAGTATGAAACTTACTGAAGAGTGTTTATGAGAAAGTGTAGCAGCCATATAATGCAGCATTTCATTAATTTTTGGCAAGTGAATGTTCCTGTAAGATCCCATCACACAGAATATTGTTGTCATTTGAGACACCTCAGAAGATCAGTTTTTAGACAAAACCAAAACTCTTCAAGCTGCAAAACCATAACATTGAACTTATCCAGGGTATTTTTCAAAGTTCTCCCCTGTTGATTTTAATTTTCTGACAGGATTGATTGAAATAATTTGTTGTTGGTACTATACTTCTGGCTATTGAAAGACTTCAGTGAAATATGGGCTTACGATTTTAATATTCTGTGGCTGACTTCTTAACCCTGCTGTTATTTCTCAAGGTCCTGTCAACCTGAAAATGCAAGTCAGTCTCCAACATGTAACTTCATTGTGTTGTGACTGTTTTTTGCAACTTTTCATGCATCATCTATGATTACATTCTTCTAGGTACATGTGGATTAGTTAGCTTTTGGTGATATAAATAGGATGTATTTTATGTGTGTTATGGAAAAATAAAAGTGGTGATTATGTTTATTTTCTGTGGAGCAGACACTGTTAGGTGAAAAAGCAAGAGAAAAGTCTTGAGTCTTGCACAAGCCAAGGGCAGGACTGTGACAGGCAAGTTTGGAGGAACTAAATCCCCAGTTGGTAGATATCTACAAAATGCAGAGGTCAATCCTAGCTGCCAGTGCCTCAAGGCCAGTGAGAGACACTTGGAGCAATGTGATGGACAGGGTGGACCAGGAAGGGAATGGCAATCAAGCCAGGGCGCCAAGGAGGTCCACAGAAAGGGGTGGGGTGGGGCACAGAGCTGCGTTGTCATGAGAGGCTGAGATCAGGCAAGCAGGCTTGGAGGTGGCTAGGACATGTGTGTGAGGGGGGCTGTTAGTCCATGTTGCCAGGCTATGCTCTGAACCAGTGCCTGGTGACAATGGCAGGGCTGCGACCATGCCCCTGGAAGGCACCTTATTTAATCTGCACAGATCTGCATCTGGAGAAACTGGGGGCAGCTCTGGGCACAGTGATGCAGGAAGCAGGACTCTGCCAAAGCTCAGCGTTTCCTCTTTGTCCCTTGACACATTTCCTAGGAAGCAGCCCCGAAGTTCCCTTCCATTTTACCCTGTGAGCTGAGACAGATGCTCTAGGGACCCAAGGGCTCCAGAGGAGGGAGAAAAGTCTCACTCCTCAGCTGGTGGCAGAGTCCTTGCGGTGAAGGTGGCACTGGAAGCATCTTCAGCTCAGAAGACACCAGAGTTTAAAGATGAGAGGCCCATAGATGAGCTTGCACCCAAGCACACTTTAAATGTTGAGCCAAGTAAAGCCCCTTACAGACCAAGTAATCAACTCCTATGCCAAATTACAATGCTTGCAAATACCCCAGTCTACGTCTGATAGGAACCACAGGTCAAATTCTCTGAGGTTGTTCTCTAATGAAGCTATGCTTTGTAATGAAAAACTGCTTTCTCCTACAGTTAAAACAAAAATGAAAAATAGAAGGAGATCGAAAAGCAATGAAAAAGAAAATAAGCAAAATGAGTTTTGAAATCTAATTTTTTTTTTTTTTTTTTTTTTTTTTTTTTTTTTTTTTGCGAGTCTTGCTATGTAGTCCAGGCTGGCCTTCAAATCATGCCAATCCTCCTGCCTCAGTCTCCCAAGTTCTGGGATTGTAGACATACACCAACAAGCCCATCTTGAAATCTAATTTTAAAAGATTGATGAGAGTTTTGAGAGCACAGAGAGTCAGGCTTTTTGTTTTTTGTTTTTCCTAGGGCTAGGAATTGAACCCAGGGCCTCATGATGTTAGGTAAGTTTTCACCACTGAGCTACATTCTCAATCCCTAAAAGGTAAGTTTTTAAGCCACGTATAGCTTTAATTTCTCCAATGTTCCTAGTTTGCAAATTTCAGCCTATAAAGCACACATGCACATGCAAAAAATGTGACCAGAATTTCTCTTTCCTTTTTCCTTATGAATTGATTTTGAGTCCTGGGTTCTGTTGCCTACCCCTGTGATTCACTGTGGACAAAGCAACCTGGATAAACAGGACAGTACTGCTCAGAAAAAGGGGCTTTGGGTGCTCTGAGGTGGAGGAGTGGTCAGTGCTTGGGGGAACTGAGGCGGGGACCTGCGGAATGTGGACAGGTGGAGTCACTTCAGGTTCTGCAGACAGAGGAGCCACAGATGGAGTTCTTCGTGCTCCCACCCCGCGCTGAACTGCCCAAAGAGCAGGGATGGATCACGGCACCAGTGCGGGTCTGAGTTGCACAAATGAAGTAAGTCATGTCTTAAATGCTGACGCTGTTCTGTGAAGCCTCTTACCTCTGCTGAGAGGAACCCAGAAACTAGTGAAAGTGATGGCTTCAATAGCAGCAGAATGGGGGCTGGGAATTTAGCTCAGTGGCATAAACACCTGTCTTGCCAAGCAGGTGGTCATGAGTTCGATCCTCGGTACTGATAAAAAAAAAAAAAAATTGACCAAAAGCAGCAGAATGCTCTAGGACAGTGGTGGCAGACCCACAGCATGTGTGCCACAGTGGGCTGTCTGTGTTGAAAGATCTAAAAGGTTTGCCATCACCAATACAGAACATCATGCTATTGTGCTTGGTAATAAGAATATGCTACTTTAGGTCTCTTCTGGTTCCAAATACATCTTCCAAGTGTTTTCTCTAGTCCTGTGAAGTGTGCTAATGGTTGTTTGGATCAGGATTTAAATTTAAAGAGCAATTTTGGAAGTATAGCTATTTCACTATGTTGATTCTTCCTACCCAAGAGTAAAGACTGTTTTCCCATTTTCTGGTATTCTCTTTAATTTTTTTTTTTAAGGGAAACTAGTTTTCAATAGAAAGATCTTTTACTTCTTTCTTAGGTTGATTCCTAAGTATTTCATCATTCTGATGCTATTGAGAAGGGAGTTGTTTCCCTGATTTCTCTCTCAGTGAATTTGTTATTTGTGTATAGCAAGGCTATTGACTTTTAAGTGTTAACTTTGTATTGAGCTACTCTGTTGAAATTGCTTATTAAATTTATAAGTCTTTATAAGGTGGAGTTTTTGGGGTCTTTTATGTAAAGTATCATGTCATATGCACATAAGGATAATTTAACATCTTCCTTTCCTAATCTTATTCCTTTTATTTCTTTCTTTTGTCTAATTTCTCTGGTTAATGTTTCCAGAACTGTATTGAGTAAGAGTAGTGACAGTGGACATCCTTGTTTCCCTCAAAAAACTAGGATTATCGTTTCTATTTGACCCAGCTATTCCCTTCCTGGGAATCTTCCCAGAAGAATGTAAAGCATCATACCACAGTGATATTTGCTTACTCATCTTTATATAAGGCACAGTTTGTAATGGCTAAATCTTGGAAGCAACCCAAGTGCCCATTAACCAATGAATGGATAAAAAAATCTATGTATCTATATATTTGCATATATATATATATATATATATATATATACAGATAAAGAAAATCTAGATATTTATAGCTAAATGGATGGATCTTGAGATTATAATCATAAGTGAAATAAATCAGACATATATGTGTAAATATTACATTGTCTCCCTGGTGTGAGAAATCAAAAATGTAAACAAGAATATAAATGTGCAATAGATATTATGAGATAGGAAGAAACTGTTTAAAATGAAAAATGAAATAGGAAGGAGAAGGGGAAAGGAAAGAAGGGAAAGAAAAAATGAGAAAAGCAAGATAAAATGAAAACCAAACTTTGTGAATGGGGAGGGAGAGGGGATTTGAAAAGAGGGGATGGAAATGGGAACAAAAAAAGAAAAAAAAGGGGAATCAAGAATATCATGTACAGACACAAATTCCCCATAATGAATGTGGTCATTCTGTGCAGCTAAATGGTACCAATAAACTTAAAAAAAGACACGTGTCAGATGAAATGAGAGCTGAATAAATGTGCTGTTGTGTAAAAACTTTAAAATAAAGAAGCATGTATTTTTGTCTTCATCGTCTGCTCCAGTCTCAGACCTCCTGATCCCCGGAACATTCTGGAGACAGGGAGTCTGTTCTGATGAATCAGCATTTGCCGGGTCCCAGGTGGGAGAGGCTCCCTGGTCGCAGACAGACCCAGCTGAATGAGCAGCTGGAACTGTGGCCCCAGCCCCACCCGGGCACTGTGAGTGCTGACCCTCAGCCGCGCGCCTGCCATCTGTACAGAGAGGACCCTGTAAAATCCCTGGGGTTTAGCGAGCCCCGGTAGCTGGCAGCCGGTAGCCAAAGGCAGGGAGTGGGGGGAGTGGTCAGCCCAGAGGTGGCCCGGAGCGCCTTGCATCGCTCTGTGTATCTTCAGAGCTGGTGGGTAAAAGTACCCACAAGACTGGGTGGCTGCAAGCGCTATGAGAGAAGAGGAAAATGCTTTTCCCATCACATTCCCTTCCCAGAGAACACAAACACAGCCTGCTTTAGACAGATTTGTGCACCGAAGGAAAACATGATGGACGAGAAAGACGGTGTTGGCCTCAAACTGGTTCTTAGATGAGGAGAGTGGCTGGGGTGGAAGCCAAGCAGGTGGGGCACCCGCCAGGCTGGTGCATGGCCAGCCTCTTACCGTAGTGCGGGATGATGGCCCAGGCCATGGCAGAGGCGTAGATGCCGCCGATCATCCAGAACATGCAGAGCCAGCTGAGGTGCTCACCCCTCTTTTCCCGGGCCAGGACTTCCGCAAAGTAAGAGAACACAGTGGGAATGGCTCCTCCGATCCTACAAGGACAGAGAACACAAGAGCTTGGGGACTGACAGCAAACGGGAGGTGTGAAGGGCAAAGCCAAAGCAAACTCTAATAACACATCCTCTCCCCCTATACCAGCATGTCAAGAAAAACTAGCATTTAAGATCGGGTTTACTATTCCTGCAACACCTTGGACCTGCAATTAGGCTATACGGCCAAAAGGTGGTATGATACTCTGCTCATGTGGTTTAGGTGGCAGCTTACGATTTCAATGGGCTGTCTGCTCAATATTATTATGTGATCTACTTGATACTTACTAAATTGTAATGATTTAGTGTAAACTAGTGAATGTCCTAATTAACTCATTTTTAGAGACAGAGTCCGACTCCATATGCACTGCTCATGAGATGGGAACTCTGGAAGTAGCTCCATACATTTGCAGGGCCTCTCTGCAATCCACACTCCCTGCTCCAACACAGCAGCGGGGCCTGCAGTCCAGTCAGGTGATGTGGGACAAACACAGGACCCAAAGGGTCACTGCCTCCATCCACTGTAGTCCTGATCCAGGAGACACCACTGCTGAGGGACAGTCAACAGAGGGCCTGTAGGATCCAATAAGGAGCTGTGGTCAATACCCCAGTGGAATGGGATACGGTGGTTCCTTCCAGAAGGGACAGTGGTAAGGGCTCCACCTATCTGGAGAGTGATGTGGCCAGTGAGTGACTTCTGCTTAAGTGGAGGAGTCTCAGATGAGGGTGAATGGAATCTGAGTTTTGTCCACTCGAGGAGATGGGTTGTAGATTTCATCCAAATTTCAAATAGGCCTTGATCCTAATTTTAGGAACCATTGTCTTAGAAGGGCAGTATGGAAAAATATAACTATTATCCCCAACAATATGAATTGTTAAATACACTTAAGGAAAAGCAATACCACAACATAAGCAGGTTGTGGAGACAACACTTAGTGATATATCAGGAATACCGAAGACACAGTGAATGCTTAAATTAAAAAAAAAAAAACATTTATTACAGTAAAGGATGCACTGTCCTGAGTCCCCCTGAAGATATTTTCCCTCACTTCAAAAACACTCATCCCATCACTATGGCCACATCCCAAGAGGGAAAACTTTGTAGTCCTCTTTCTTGAGTGCCTTTATGTGGTATAATAAAAACTACAACAATGGTGGGCCAATCCGAGCAATGGACAGGCAGCTCATAAAACACTGTGGCGTGTCCCCATCTACCTCCTTCACCAGATCTGGCACCGTGCGACTTCTGGCTCTTCCTCAAAGCTGAAATGACTATGAGAGGAAAACATTTTCCATCAATTCAAGACCCTGAGGCAGCCACCAGTACAACTAAAGACCCTCAGGAAAGAGGACTTCCGGAACAGCTTCAGAAAGTGGCAAGGACGATGGGAGAAGTGTGTTTGCAGAGAAGGGGAGTATTTTGGGGAGGATTAATAACAATGCTTTTTTTTTTTACTGTAATAACATAAATAAATGCAAACATTTGCTTTGTTTTTGATCATCTCTTGTAAAGATATAGTTATGTATTGTTTCATTTATGGTCAGATTTTTGTGAGATGAGTTGCTACTGACATTTTGAGCAAATTTGATGTCAAGGAGTAAAACGTGTTTATCCATTTAACAATAACTGATTTGCTGAAAGCCTTGATATGATAAAGAAGTACTGGTGTTAACTGTAGCAAATGCAATTCAGGGAAAGGCCATTTTCTACTGCAAACTGGGTATACTGCATGATCCACAAGATTTATAATATTCTGTATTAACTTGTAGATTAAAGTATGTCACATTTCATGCACGTACCCTGGTAAAGTGACACTGTAGTTGTCCATCAGTGGATATAGGGAGGTTACTTAGGCCAGTTTTATTTAATCTATGGGTTGTAAAATTAATTTAGAAACTGTGAACAGCATCTCAAAAATCAGAAATGAAAAGAGTACAATTCAAGTAATAAGGATAGGCATAAATTCATTTCATGAAACTGTTGTGCTATATACATATTTATAGCACACACTGTGTGGATGCAATGTATATAGTGTGTTTCTTAGTGTAAACTGCTAAAGAGTTTGAATGTCCCTAATTTAAATCATCTATGTCCATTTCTTGGGCTATGAATGTGGTGATACACCCAGACTCTGCAGAGAGCTGGCCCGACCTATCTTCACATGGGGATGTAGCGGCAGCACACAGAGAGGCAACAGCCAGGTCCAGTGTAACAATCTGACTTTACTCAGGAAACAAATGCATGTGGGAGATGGCGAGGACCAGCTGGCACCACACCACCGCTTCGTGGGCCCCATGTGTCTTTCTCTTGCCCACTTTCTTAGGGAGCTCATGCTAATTGAGTTTAAAAATCCAACATCTGAGTGGATTTTAAATCCACTCAACAATACTCCATTTTAGTAGGGAAAAGAAAATGTCTATGTCACAAATCATTTAATGTTACCCTTCTTTTGTATGACATGAAGAATTCATTTATAAGCATCATAAATCCTGCTCAAGTCCCTACTCTCTGGCTTCACTTTTCACTCCATAAAAAGAGTTCTGATTTTTACTGACTTTCCTCATCCTAATTAACATTTCATAGGGAACCTGGAGCTCTGTAGGTAACAGCTACCACTCACACCTCATGGAGGCACAGCCAGATATATCAGGTGTCTCTGAACCAAGATAAATGTACTCCATCATGGCTGAAATTTCAAGTGGAAGCTTGCAGACTCCCTGTTAATTTTCAGCAAATCAAAGTGCAAGAGTTCGTCTACTATTCAGGGCCAGTAACCAATCCAGTTGAGTTTGATTCAATGCCTGATTTTTAAGGTGATTCTTTTTGTCTCTCTCGGACTCTAAAGTTAAGGAATAAATAAACCAGTGGGGATACTTTTTCCATCCTTTGCAAAATTATTTACACTCAGATATCTTCAGAATAGTACAAGCATTTACCATTATAGGCTCATCATCTATTTGAGGGAAAACCGTTTTCATCTTACTCTAGTGTCTCTTAAGCAGAGAAAAACTTTCCCAGTGTTGTGATGTTAGTTGTTGCCGGTGATTCCCACTCTCAGCAGCTGGCAGGGTATTTCTCTTTGAAGCCTCACTTCCTGGCTCCGTGGAAATACACCAAAGAACTGCATTTCACACTCTCCTATGTTGGAGTTGCCACATCAATTGCCTAAAGCAGTCTGTTTTGACATTTAAACATTTCAATAAATGGAAATGTATACTTTATCTCTAGGTCAAGGTGACCACAAAAGAAGTCGAGCAGCTGCGTGTAGCTGCTCTATGCCTGAGCTGCTGTGGTCACCCCTTGCTCAGATGCTAGCATGCTCCTTGTCCTGGAGAGAGTTCACTTGGAACTAGTCAGAAGACGCTGGGGGCATCCGGTGGCACCTGTGTGTCTTCTAAAGAAGTGTCATAGCTGCTATAATTATCATTAATGAAAGTATCGGAACAAGAGGGAAAGTAGAACCTCTCTTGGCTTATCAGATGGGTTCCTTCAAAATGTAGAGGGTAGGAAAACACTGCAACCACCCCCACAGCTTACAATTAGAAAACATTTTTCATTGCTGTCTTACCTCATGGCTTCATGTGAGGGCAGAATACATCTCCTTAGGATGACTTGATATTGTTGATGCCGTTGATTGCATTGATACAATAATTGATGATATATAAAGAGACATAAAATACTTAACTGGCAACTGTCGAATTCCCATGTATGGATAGTTTTTAAGTAGGGCTCACCTTCCAAACCCTGGCCTCACCATTGCAGGTTTCTGGAAAGGTCTGGACACATTTTTAGTTGTCACAATTTAGGGGCTGCTACTGGCATTGAGCAGGTGGAGATGTGGGAAGATGTAAAACAGCCTACAGTGACAAGAATAGCTCCCCATACAGAAAAGAATTATCCAGCCCCAATATCAATAGTGCTAAGGCTGAGAAACTCCTGCAATGAATGGAGATTTTAATGTGGAAAATATAATTAAATTCATATTTTAAAAATCCATAATATAAGACATAAAGTAGTTATTTTTACATTATCTGGTGGGAAATACATCCATAAATTCAATTAACAAGGAAAGCCCACTGTTCATTATATAATGATCGCTTCTACTGAAATTTGTTCAGGTCCTTTTTTCCCCCAAGTTCATTTTTAATGAATGTTTACATAAATGAAGAAATTGGATCAGATGTTTTATAATGAATTTTTCTCAGTATTAGATATTAAGGCTATTTTATTAGCTGTCAAAAATAGTCAAATCTTAATTATCCTTGATAGTAGAAGGCACAGAAGGAATAATCACAGAAATCCAGTCCCTGAGTAGGAACAAGATAATCTGGATTTAAAATAATCAAATTTATACAAATGAAGCTGGATACTGATACTTGGCTTTCAGAGTTGGGTGGGGTAATAGATACTTCTAGTGAAAGTAATATTAATATTTGTAAATAATATTACTTAAAGAGTTCCAGTACATTAATTATAGAATGATAGTCTGAAAATTTTGTGTTAAAAAGCATTCCTAGAATAAACTGGGGCTTCCCTCAACTGTATACATGCAGATACACACACACACACATGAACTCCAGCTCAATAGGACTGCATGTGGCTTGGGCTAGGTGTTTGGCAAATAACATAAAACATTTATTTTTCCCTAAAATCTAAGGTAAAGTTAGAGTGAGATACTGTTTAGGGAAAAGAATGCATCAGCTTCACAGGCAGAATTTCTTGGGTACTGAGTAACATGAGACATGCAAGTTAAGTCAGTCAGCACAGCAAAAGTAACACCTCATTGAGTGACAGGGAAGCCTGACCATCCTGCTCCCTGCGAGTCTTACAGCCACACCTCACAGGACTCCAGCGGAGTGGCAGCCCAAGGGTCGGTGATGTTGTTACCCTACGCCATGGATTCATGGTAGCTGTTCTGGCTTGGATTAGTGTCCCACAAAGCCCCTGTGTGAAAGGACTATTGGAAGGCAGTGGAACCTTTAAGAAGTATAGCCTGCTGGAA